TTTCCCTACCCACTTGGAATGCACACGTCATTTTTGACCTCGCTGTGTTTCCCCTTCCTCAGGGGTGGCTCTTCCAATGCTCCTCGGCAGGTTTCGGCAGTGTGGCCGTGCCCAGTCCCGTCCCGTGGAGCTGTGGGAGGTTACACACTGCAGCAAGAGGGCACAGGTTGTCCCACCAGCTTAATTTCTTGCCTACAGGGCAACGGATCTTCCTCTGGTGCTACATGGGATGTAAAACTCATCCCATTTTAGGCTGGGATGAAGAGTTTAAGAAAGAACGATCAGCTTCAGGATCTGGATGGGCCAACGGTGTCTTGCTAGGCATGGAATGGACACTTAATTTAAAGTCTTTGGTTGTAACAGAGAGAAACATGGAAAAGCCATTGAAAAAAAAACCACAGAAACTTTTCCTTCACAAGGAAAATCCTACTGAAACTGATAGGAATGCAAAAGATAAGGGATGCAAGAAAAACACCATCCAAAATCCCTACTGGTGGGAAAAGGGACTGTTGTTCCCTCTGGTTGAAGCCCAGAAGAAGTCAAAGTCTGTATTTCTCTGAGGATGCTACATCCAGAGAGGAGGTAGTGTCCTTCTGCAGAGGAAAGGATGGAGGTGCTGGAGGAGGGTCCTGGGAAGGAAGGGGGGCACAAAGGAGGGGAAAGAATAAACCCATGAGTGAGGACAGCTGGGGACAAGGGGGCACAAAACCAGGAGGATTACCAATGAAAGAATACACTTTGGAGATAATATTATTAGGAAGTCCCTCAGGAGAAGAGCTTTATGCCTGACAAAGAGGAGTCATTGCTTGCTTCAGAGAAGTCCCCAGGGCAGGGATCCAAGAGGTCAGGCAGCAATTTCAAATTAGCAGCTCGATCAAATGGAGTCCCCTGCTCACCTTCCCCACACCAACGCCAGGCTTGAGTTAAATCAGAGAATGCGTGGTCAAAAATAACCACGTTGCATAAAGTCCTGTGTGCGTCTCTTGCAAGAGAGAAGCAGGTTACCAAATAAAAAGAAAGGCGGGGGGAGAAACTCAACCCTGCAAAATATATTGCTCCGTATTTAAAGTTTGGAACAGGTCCTTTTTGTTTCTCAACTGCTTATATACATCTGCTGCCTAGCAACTGGGGCTGCAAAGCCATGCACTAAAATTAACGAGGTGCCTGCAGATTGAGGAAAGGCACTCAAGGACCAGGGAGATAAAGGCAGCAGCCCCGGGGTTGTGTTTCAGCCCAGAAATCCGAAGAATGAGAAGGGAAAAAAAAACCCCAACAACTCAGAAGGGTCAAGTGCAATCACAGGAGGGGGACGCTGGGGTTTGTTTACAGCAAAAGATGATTTCTCTATTAATTCTGCTTAGGAGAGGATCCTTTGTGTGCTGGCTAGCAAAAACCAGGACGAGATCTGTTTGCAAAGCTACACACCAGCAAAGCTGAATAACCATAAACCAGCAAGGCCAGACCTGGCTCCTGACCTCCAGCAGACATTCGCTCCCTGTCTGCTGCGTGGAAACTTGGGTTGAGCCGAGGGATCTCTTGATCCCATTGCAATCTACTGGAGGAACGTGTAGAACTCAGAATAACAAGGACGTGGAAGGAAGATTATTATTACAATGCCATCATGAAAGCGTGAGATATAATAGCACTGTAATCAGAGTCACAAATTACAGAAATCTGGTGCCAGTTCATTGAACTTGCCATGGTTGGGCAGAATCGGCCAGACGGCGTTTGGTCTTTGGAAGCTGAGCTGGATCCTGGTCCCTGCACTCACCTCTCAATACTGGCGTGAGCATCACTGGCTTCAGGCTGTCTCAGTGCTTTCCCGAATCAGAAGTTACTCCCTGATTTACACTGCACTTAAAGCACATTCGAACCTTACACAGAAATCCTGGAGTTGGCTTGGACCAGCCCAGTGCTGCCCCAGCAGAGGAGAAGCAGGGGCAGGTGATGGGGCAGCCCTGCTGCAAAAAACAGCCAAAAGCAAATTTGGAGGGTGCTGCAGGCAGTTCCTCTGACTCCAGGGAAGACATACCCTCAAGAACATGGTTATTGGAATAAAATCGCAGCATGTTAAGCCAGGGCATGAATTTACAGAGAGTTACGGCCACGGTACCAGCTTGCCACAAAGCGAGCATGGGATAAATTGCTGCCCAGGGAAACAGGCGTGCAGCGGCTGGGTGTGCGGGAGCGGAAGCATGCTGGCAGGCGAGCACGAGGATGCTCTAGCATGAAAAACCAGGCTGAGCCAAGGACCAGAGGTGTCAGCCTCCCTCGAGGACCAAGGATTGGAAAAGGGGCTGCTGCATTTAAAGGCTACATCCTTTTCTCTAAGAAGCGGGTGCAGCAGGAGATCTCCCACTTCAGCAACCTTCAGAGAATCAGTTTGCTAGACTGAACAGACAAAGGTTTGGTTTCAAAGCCGTCATCACAAGCAGACAAGGAGCTTTTTACCTCTCCTCGCTTGGGCAAGATAACATTGTGCTATTCGGGAGAACCTGGCAGTGACCTTCCCTTCAGCTGAATGGCGGGGGGAGGGATTTACAGACAGAAACAGTACAATAACAACAATTAAAAAAGTTTTCAAGCAACAACATGGAGAGAGACAATACAAAAAAAAAACCACCTTCTTCTTGCTATTTCCTGGTACAACTCCATTAATACAACTCTAAACTGTGCTCCAAAAATAATAATAAAAATTATTCTGTGCATAGCTATTCATAGGGTGGCAGGATATTATGAAACACAAGCAGTAAATCTTAAATAATATTTAGTCACCCCCGAATACTTATAAAAATCAGAGATGCATGTAAAAGCACAGCCTATACAAACAGATCCCAGTGAGCAGTTTTAGGTTATATTTACCTCTCCAACCCCCTGGGCAGGGTGTACAGGTCCCCTCCCCTTACTGATGTTCTTGGACAGTCAGGCAATTTTTGCAGAGAGCGGGTGGGCATCGCAGGTCCCCCACTCTGGGGACTAGGTGACATGCTCACTCGCTCCAAGCTGGACAGTTGGGAAGGCAGTAGGATGAAAAAAAAGGTTGAGTTCAAACCTAAGTGCCCCCCTGCCCTTCCATGAAAACCTCCAGCAATCCAGGATGTCTCATGGAGGTTCCCAGCCCAAGGAAGCAGCCAGCAGAGACCAGAAATCATGTACTTTAAAATGTGCAGAGCATTGCAGGGCTGGATGCAGGAAGAGCTCCATGAACATATACCATCAAAAAAAGATAATCGTGTCACTAATCTCTTACCAGCCTGAGTAAGTTTTCAGGAGGGGCTTTTAATCTGCCTGACAAACACGGTGAGAACTGTTTCAAAGACACTGTCATAGCAGCAATCCCATCTGCAGTGCCTGACTTACCGCTGAATTCCCACTCCTGCATTAATGCTAACAACACTTTTTCATTTAAGCCCTTCGTTTAGAGGGCTTGCTGTATTAAATCGCACTGTGGCTAAGAAAAGAAAGAAAGAAAAAAGACAACCTACTACTTTCCCCCACTTTTTTCATGTACCACTCTTGTAAACGTATTGCTGTCCATCTCGGAAACCAAATTCCAGGATCTGGAGGCCCTGAAACTTTAGAAGAACACAAAGGCACAAGTGTGAGGACATTACCTCCGTCTGGAAACCCTCTACCAGGATGGCCACCAGCAGGTTAAAGAGAACATAATTCCCAAACGTCATGAGAGCGATGAAGTAGAGAGCAGCCCAGGAGGAGGTCGATGCCATGCCATTGTAGAGGACCTTGTTCCAGTCTTCCTGGGTCAAAATCTGCAGAGGAAGGGTATCAGGAAAAATGGAGATGCTGTAGGATTGTGTGCCATTTTCCCCAAGCCTGGCTGGGTGTCTGCGCTCCGGATGGGCCAAATGAGCATCCCACTTTTGGGGTAGCCACTGTAGCTGTAACCACAGGAGGATAAATCTGGCCCAAGTAATCTTCCGAGCCAGAGAAGAGGCAGGACTGAAGTGACCTTAACTCCCATGCTACCAGTAAGCACCCTGCCCAAACTGCCCCGACTCCCACCCACACCAAGGGACACATTCAGCCATAAGGGAGTGCAATGTCACGGGGGTCAGACCTTTCCTTTGATCGGCCAGAACAACTAAAAGTCCTTCACAGATCCAGCAGTTACAGAACTCAGAGCTGCTAGAACAAAAAACTGCACATATCAGTTATGGGCTTAAAACAGATTCTGTTCTTTGTTGAGGTATCACTGCAAATGGTCCTCATTGACCACCTCTTGATCTCCACCCTCTACATTTACTTTCACCCACCCAGCACATACCCTGCAAATGCAAGAGGCTCCTACCTCAGCAGCTCCTCCTCATTTTATTCTGGAAAACAGTCTGAAAACCCCTGCGTTCCTGCACTTGTGGTTTTGAGTCCTCTCCCTTCCATGGCAAGGAGCTTCACTAAGCTGTCAGATGCTTTGGAAAACAACCCCCACCCCTGCAGCCCCAAAATGCACGAGTTGTGGCATTTTCCATTTTGTACCTGGAAAACGGTGACAATGGCCCAGAGCAAGGAGTCAAAGTTCTTCCTGTCAGGCAGTGTGTCGCCATCTCGCTCCGAAGCAAACTTACAGCCAAAGAGGTGCATCCCCAGGATGCTGCATGGGAGGGAAAGCAGGGGCTCAACCGGAGACGACATCGGTCTCCTATTAAAAACTAATAATCATACAGTAGGGCTGGCTGTGTCTCCTGATTTCACCTCAGCTTTTTTTTTTTTTTTAAAAAGATGAATCATTTGTTCACTGAAAAACATGCCTCAAGATCATGCAAACCAGTTGTGAATTTGGGTCAAATCTGTCAAACAGTTTCAACCAAAAAGTATGTCTGCTCCTCCTTTTTCTTCTCCTTTGGTTTTTTTGTTTGTTTGGTTGGTTTTTTTTAAGTCAAAACATTTTATTTCAACATATTCTAAACAAAATGTTTTGACTTTCTGTTTTGCAATGACACATTTTTAGCAAAATATGCTTAAATTGAATTAGGAAGACAGAAAGGGTTTCTGTGAAATGTCCAAATGAGACATAACAGGGGACCCAAAACAGCTTTTTCAATTTTGACAGGAAAACAGAATACCTTTCCTTTGAGATTGATACTAAAAGAATAATTTTTTTTCCCCTGCTCTTGGCCAGTAACCTGAATAATCAAATTATTTACAGCTCTACTGAGCACCACGGCTGCAAATGGTGGCTTTGGAGTGAAACGTCTCACTGGGAGAAGGGACATTATTCCATGGAAGAGACTCGCTTTCTTCAGCCTTCCCAGTGCCTGGATCGCTGGAACACCAGAGTTGGCTGTTACAAAGAGACAGGCTCTCCTCAAAATCTAGACCAAAATCCAAAGATTCAGGGCTATGCCAAGCCTATTTCTAACATTTCCACTGCAGAACCTTGCTTCTCAGAAGAGGCCATGCAAAAGCACAAGCACCACCACGGCTGACTATTTTAGGAACATCACCCTCTCCTTGGCAATATTTTTAGCACCAGGCTTCTGCTAGTCAGTAAGTAATGGGACCACTGTCTTGGGGTGATGTCAAGGAATCATCCAGCTGAAAGATTTTCCTTGTAAATCATCTTGCAAAGACAGATGTCTTGTTTGGCCAGAGTTAAGAGAATTTAGTCAGGGCAGCAAGCCATCACCAGCACTGGCCAGCGATGCTGTTTCTGGGACCATTCAACTCAGCCATGCCCTGGTATGGACTCTTACATCTCCTCACCTCACCATGCGATCCCACCTAAAAAACCCAGAGCAACCTCAGGACTGAGAATTGGAAGCACTCACCTAAAGATGAAGATGAAGAGCATCAGCAACATGCAGAACGTGGCCACGTTGTCCATGGTCTTCATGAGGACTACAAGCTGGCGCTGGAGGGCTGGCATGAAGCGGACCAGCTTCAAAACTCGCATGAGCCGAAAGGTCCGCAGGACTGAGAGCCCCCCGCCTTGCTGGCCCACTATCTCCCACACACTGAGGGAGGAAAAAAGGTCATTGCAGGATGAGAAGACAAAGCCTAACACAAAGGCACAGAGGAGAGGAAGCAAAGGAAGGATGAAATTCAGAGAGAAGAGGGATGGAAACTGGGAAGAGACACACTGCCAATGCCCTTGGTGAGCTGGACTCCATCCAGGCTTGCAAAGAGCAGAGCCCCACTAGAGTGTCAAAACCACACCTGCAAATCAGTGGCTGCAGCTGCAGGGGCAATTACAGCCTTTGCACATGCCAAAAACACAGACAGCTACTTAATCGGGCACTGGTTGTACTATTTGGATCCTAGACTTTCCCAGGACATTGGGACCGATAGCTTTCTGCTTGGGCCTCTCTCTAAAATGACCATAAAGTAACCCCAAGATACGTATTAGCAATCATGTCTAAGTGCATTAATTTACAGCAGAGAATTATAAAGTGTCATAGAAAGGTATTTATGCCCACTCTCCATTACTTTCTGTTTAATTAAACAGCCAAATGAGGGGAAACACACATAAAGAAAGCTCTAGGTTTGTACCTAATCACCACGATGATCCCATCAAAGATGTTGTATGGATTCTTAATGTAGCCAAAAGGACCATAAACAAGGACTTTCAACAGCATCTCCAGGGCAAAGAGGCTTGTGAAGACTATGTTGCTGATCTCCAGGGCATTGGTAAGCTCCTCCGGCTGGGGAAAGAAGAGGAGGAAAGGGATGTGGTAAGCAGCACAGCTCCATTTGTTAGGCGCATCCAAAATTACACCTGGAAATGCAAGCCCCAGTATTGCAAGCATAGGAATACCGATGCTAATGGTGTAGCAAGAAAATGGTAATAGCTCACTCAAAGCCCAAGACAGAGAAGAAAAATACTATCAGAGTATTTAAGGCTTATACACCCATTGTAAATTGAGCAGGTAAATCCAGACATGGACTTCACATTAATCGCAGTTTTAGTACCACCTCAGGAGGTTTGTGTAGAAGTGGCATGTACCAAGCCTTAACAGTTTCACATCCTCCAAACTAGTTCTCCTTATGCAGAAGGGAAAGGCAGACCATTTTCTCACATAAATATCCTTTTAGGGCCTGTCTTTTTGTTTAGTATCTCATCAAAAGATTTAAGCTAAGGTTTTCAAATGCAGAGATTTGAGGTGCTATAACTGGAACAGCTCAAAAAACCTCATTATCAGGAAGCCCCGCATACTGCGACTGAGAAAGGGCCTGATCCTGGCAATTCAGACTGGCAATCTAAAAATAGAGGTATGAAAAATACCTAAGAAACAGACTTCCCATAATCTTAGACCTAAATTAATACCATCCATGTTTTTCTAGCATATTTCACAGAGGGTTCCCAACAATACTTGCAGACACCCAGCACTGTGCTTTCCCCGGCGGGTGGGAGGGCATTGTTAGAAAACATATGGCAGAAGACAAAAACCGGTGGCGTAGACTGTTTAGGATCAGTCAGTGGCAAAGACAGGAGCAGAATCTGCAGTACCAGATCCCTTCTCCCCATTTAACCCCAACACACAGCTGCAACTGCATGTTTCCACTTAAAGGCTTCATTAAAATCAAGAGACATCATCCTGCTGGCAGATGACCGTGGGGTCGTGTCAGCAACACCAAGGTGCCCTGCGGGGCAGTGGAGTGGCACAGTTCACAAACACCTTACACACACTGGGTGTGGGATTCCTCTTGGGGTAGTCTGGCACTTAATTCACTTGGATACTTTTCTAAATCCCCATGCGTAACCACCCACAGCTTTAGATGCCTGAACACCATGGTGGGTTACAGCTGGATGTGCAGGTTCACAGCAGCTACGCCATGAGCAGAAGCCAATGTGCAACGTGTGCTGTTGACTGCTCCCACCATTTAAATGAAATGCCTTCATGGCTGGCCAAAAACTTCCTACAACAGACCAGGAGCTTCCACGCCATGGCACATGCTGCGGCACAAGCTGCGGGGTTTGACATGAGGTGACCCAACCCCAACCCAGCACCATGGAAGCTGGGAGAGGGGATGGCTCAAGGGCAGGGTCAACACTTGATCAGCCGTGTTTCAGAGCCCCAAGAAACTGTAGCGACCAAAGGCTTCACAGATAGCAAATAAACAGATAAATCCATGTGGACATTCAACTCTCTCTTTCTCAGGGTTGAAGTCTCCAGGAACCGCTGGCAAAGCCCTTGCAGCTCAAGTTCCTCCAACCTAATGTGACAGTAGATGGGGACCCAAATTGGTCTGATTTTATCTCAGCATGGTACTGTAATTCCTGGGGATTTGGCACTGATACCAGTGGGAGCTTGTGATGACACAGCAATGGTCACAGGATAGCAAAGGGGGAAACAGCAGCACTGAAAAGAAAAAAGTAATAAAAAAGTAAAGAGGGGGGTGTTGAACACTTCCTATACCTCAAACATCCTCGCTGAGGAACAGGTCCCTTGGCTAGAGTTTGCCAAACACACCAGACATACACGGCCCAAATCACCGCCTCACTCATCTAGAGCTAAAATACAAATGTTCCAGTTCCCGATATTAAACACAGCCCTGGTTTAAAATCATATACCTATGGGAATGCTCAGACACAAGGTAATAAATAGGCCGAGAACTTATATGTCAAGCTGCACCTCAGGACAATTTCAAATAGCTGAAAGTCTACATTAGTCACAAAAAAAATGCCAACTCATTCATGAGTGCCCCAGCACCGAGGCAGGCTGTGCTGTTATCATTACCGCAGCGATACTGCTGGAAAGGAAACGTGTTCCTGGAAGCTTTCCTTCTCATCCATCAGCGCCACTAACCCAGGCCCCAAAGGCTGATTTCCACCCTCTGTTCCCTCTCTGCGACCGCGCTGCCAAATCTAACCTTCCCTGCAGGCGCAACCCGGTTAAGTCCCTCAATGCATCAGCAGTGCCCAGCATCTCACGCAGACGTGGCACCCCTTCCCTGCGGGGGCTGACATGGAAAAGCCAACCAGCCCCGGCAGGGATGTTGTGTTGATAGTGCGGATTAATGAAACTTTGCATTTCACAGGCACCTACTGGTTGGAGATGTTACTGGGATGTATAAATCCAAATGGGAGGCGCCAATAGGGCACAACTGGGTGATGTGGGGAGCCGCAGGGCGAGCAGCGCTTACTCTGCAACTCTCCCAGGACCCCCAGCACCCACCGGAAGGGCGATGGCTTCCCCAGTCCATGAAGCATCCCTCCCAGCCCACCCGGCTCATGAGAGCCCCAAATACCCCTGGCACCAGTGCAGGAGGACTATGGGTCAGCCTGTGCAGCATGGTGACGCTCAGCACCTGCAGCAGCACTGAATCCATCCATCTCCCCCGCTTCACCCCAAAAAAGCCTCCTCGCTCCTCCTCCACACGCTCTCTTCCACTTCCCTCGCAGGATATGGTTTTTAATATCCGAGACATTGGGCACCCATAATAAAGAATGACATCTCCTGAACCAGAGTTGAGAATTAATATCCAAGAATCTTAGATTAATGGCCAAAATGGGTTGAAAGAGGAAGGGAAATCTTCCCTTTCACCCGACCAGGAGAAGAGGAGGGTCTTCAGGGCAGCCTGGTGCTCTGCCAGGGAAGGGCAAGGTGAGCATCTGCTGGCAGCACACAGCAACCAGACCCAGCTGAAATTGAGAAGTTATTTTGCTTCAGGAAACAACACATCCCTAAACAGTTGAGACCGGGTGATGCAAATTACTTGGAGGATTTTTGCAGCCGGCTGTGGAGCGCTCTCCCCCAAGCCCATCGATCCCACGCAGGGGGTCCCCAGGGCAGCTCATGAGCCCCCTGAAACAGCTCTGCATCCCTTTCAAGGGACACATCGCTGCAGCCAGTCCATGGGGCACCTGCCTGGACCCCTGCCACGAGCACCACTGGGAATTATTTATAAAAATAGAGGCAGGCTGAGATCATGATCCTGCCCGAGGGGATCGCAGCCAGGCAGTGGGGATTCAAATACTTCTGAGAATGCCAGCTACGGGATTTCTATGCAGCCATAGATGCATATAGATAATAAAACTCTTTATAAGATGCTTCTGCTCCAGAGAAATCACAAACATGTTTGAGACATCTTTCCTTAGACATCATTACAATGCAGCAGGAAAGTGGGTCTTCCCTCCTGTGGGAACTGGAATTGTCATCCCATCCCAAACAGGAATGCAGTTTCAGAATTGGTGAACCAAAACACTTTGTGTGCAAAATTTTGAAAGCTTTCCCCTCCATTTCAGTCCCTATTCCCTTATCCGTTTGCTCTGTACTGTAAATCAACTGAAATTAAAAAACATAAAGAAAAGTCAGCTTGAAGAAGAACATGGAGCTTTTTGTTCCCCAGCTCTTCAAATGGATGTTTCAAATATCTCAGACAATGTACGTCAATAATCTTTTTTTTTTTTTAAGCCAGTTCACTGAAACCACTCCCCTCCCACAAACAGCTTCAAGTTTGATAACCTGCCATTTTCTGACAATAATTGTCTAATCAAAACAATATTGACCGGCTCTAGATATCATGTACCTGGGAGAGTGACCGACTCCTGGCACAAAACCAGCTCCATGGGTCCTTGCCGAGCACAGAGGAAAAGAGCCAGTAAAATCAAGCAGCTTTCCCCTCCAAGGGCCACAACACAGCAGCCAATGGAGGTAGCATCCTTCCTTTGACTAAAGGATATATTTGGAAAACAAACCCCTCCAGGAAACCCTCTGGAAAGGGCATTTTGTGGGGAAGCAGAGCCTAAGGTGCAGAGCCTGTGGTTTCTTTGCAGCAGAAAGCCTCCTGCCCACCACCCCAATTACAGCACATCTGCCACAGCCTCAGCTTCTCCATTAAGAGAAGAGTCTGCTAATTCTCTCATCAGCAGCAGCAGTGACTAATTAAAAGGAAAGCATCCTATGATTAAATGAGCAACACCCAGAAAGAGCAAGATACAAGCGCAATTCAGCTGTGGCATGAAACACTGGCTCTTCCAATGAGCCTTCAGTAAATACTGAATTTCATTTCCAGGACACCTCGCCTTGCTGGACACACAGACGCGGTGTCCTGGATAAATCATTCCCTGTTAGCTCGCTGTTTGTGTAGTGTCGATTTGTTGATGTACCAAACAGCACATTGACGAGCTCTGGCAGCACACAAAATAGGAACAGACAGCGCAGCATCTCTCATAAACACCACGCAGCAAATGAAGGCGGTGGGGAGGAGGCGAGCCACAGGCGCCTGCCCAGACGTAACCCTGCCTGGCAGGGTGCAAACCGTGGCGGCGAGGAGGGGATGCTCTCTGCACCCTGCCTGGAGGTTTCAGGCAGGGCTGCCTGGCACCAAGCAGAGCACTGCCATAGGGGACAGGAGGAGGCAAGGGAAGATGTCCCCAGGTACTAAATGTTGCCTCAAGGGGTATCTCAGAGCTGGACCAGTGCCTTGCCCTTTTTCAGCATTCAGAAGTAGGCTGTAACACATTTCTTTCAGTTCTTTTTCTTTTTTTTAAACTGAGTAGAAGCTCACGAGTGACATTTCTGATGGCAGAAGGGATGTGCTCCATTTCCATCTGGGCACGAGATGGTGGCACACGCTACTCCTTCCTGTGCACGGGGCTCCAAGGTGTCTGCTGAGCAAGTGAGACAGCGGGCAACAAGTCAGGGAAAAAGGTGAGGACAGGGGCTGGGGTCATTAAAAGCGCAAGCCCCGGGGGCTG